TCAATCCAAAATTGCTGCTACAGTATTTAATTACCCTAAAATGTCTTGGAATATTTCTTTTCCCATGGCGGTTCAACTACAATTATTTGTAATTCCACGAGTCCATAATATCAACCCATATTCTATCCAATCAGATTCATTGAGCCTTTCAGTGCTCTCTGGTAATCTTTCTGTTTGGCGATGACGTCCAGCCTGACCAAGACCGGTCTGTGTTAGTAGATTTAGCCCGATTAATTTTACAAAGCTACCCATCCTAATCCAATAACAATCAACGGCTCCCAAATGTTGAGCAGCGCTCCCAAATGTTGAGCAGCAGTCTTATGCAGAATTGCTAGAAATAAAACTTTATAAGGGCGTATAATATCGTGTTTCATCTGCATTTCATGGCAATAATGCTGTTTTTTGATGGGTAACAGAAGATTGAATTCTCATCTGATAAAGTTCATTTTTATGGAAAATTCGTCATCCTCTCTCTGAGCTGCTTTTCTACTCTCTATTCTCTTAGGGGAAATTCTGTCTCCTATTATATTTCCATATAGAATACGTCAAGGTTCCAACTGCAAAACAACAGTACTGCTGAAAGGATGAATTACCAGTCAAACAATGGGGTACGGCAAGACGAAGGCGTTGTTCAAAATGAGTAATTGGGCGGAGGTCTTTGGTTCTTCAACTGACACTGAAGAAATTCGTCATCTGGAAGTTTCAAGACACCTGTCAGTTGTCACCAAGTGTCGTGTCGTCGCTCTTACCCTCACCATAGGCACTGTCTTGGAACCCTAGAATGATTGCCACTTTTCCGTCTGGTGTTAACTGTTCGTTTTTTTTTTGAAGGCTAAATTCCAGGCTGAATACTTCTCATCCTATTGTTTCATGAGTCAATTTCTGGCGTTTTTTAGTTTGAAGATGGCCCAATTTCACAAGTGCTGGCGTCTTGACCAGTGGATTCCCTTCTTGTCTAAGTGATCTTCAAATCCGCTTAGGAGTTATTGATGGTGTGAGAGTGGGTATGAGAGTTAAGTTATGGAACTCCCTTGGAAGGATATGAATCCCAGTTGTTTTACACGGAGGTCGAAGTTAACGTTCTCTGTTTAAGCATAAACCATATCTCGAATGTCGAGACAATCTCAGGCGGCATGGGGAAGCATTCCTTAGTGGTCCACGAGCTTTTTATTTATTCTTTCCTTTGTTTATCGATCAATATTACATTCGTAGGCTTAGCTTGGTAGTTGTTAACTTATTTAAAAAAAACTGCAACGCACAAACTGTTTAGATGGAGGCGGAGTCAAGAGCAAAAGGGGGCGGTGCTAATGAAGGGGATAGGCGCTGCTCTTATGAGATTTCCTTTACCAATATCAACTACTCCTGAAAACTAAACTCATATGTAGGGTGACTAAGCTCGATTGCCTCTTATAGGTTCTTATAGGTTTGATTTTAATGTGAGCACCAACTTTTTGATGAGCGAAATCGATTTTTCCATAAAATTTGGGCATCGTTGATGTAACTGGAAGAAGTTTTCCCACCATAAAAATACCTGGGCGGCTCCTTTTCCCACCATGTCACCCCCGTTTACCTATAATCTACTTTGAGAGTTGAAAAACTGTAGAAAAAATGGCTCGGTGAACTCAATTACTTGTGAGAATTTTCAAAGCCATTCTATTGTTTTCTTCCCTTTTATTACCTCCCGAAACCCATTCATCTGGGTAACTTCACCAACATCAAACACCATTGAGTTTTTCACGTAGTTGCTAGGTAATGTAGGAACAGATTGATCATTAAATCTATGGTTGTATGGCGTTGTTCCTAGGAACAGAATAAAGACTTCGTTTTTGACGTATCGGCTAAAAGGTTTCTGGGATAAGCCTCGTATTAGACCTTAAAGCCGATTCGAGTAGGCGTTCGAATGCATAGCAAGCCAATACATTCATAATTTTCCGTTGGTACCATCGTAAAGCTACGATTTGCAGACATTCCTGAGATATCTGTTATTCATTAGAATAATGTAATCCGATAGATTTTCGCTGCAATCTTGTTTTTCTCAGCGATTTTTGTAATTTCACATGGCTGCTGTGCTATGCGCTTTTGGAATTTGCATTGTTATACATGGAATGTTCTCATCGAACCATTGTGGATAGTCCGAGACGTCTTCATCTGATTGGACTAATGTAATTCAACCAATTTTCGTGACAATGTGGTTTTTTTCAAAGATTTTCCGTAATTTTGCGTGCCCATGGGAAGTGCCTTCTTATTTCCGAATTCGTGTCATTTCGTGCATACCGCACTTCAACTCCAAGCATCTCTTTGCGTTGTGAATATAGCGTGACAGACAGTTATTTTGTACGGTAATTTTATTTGTAAGTGCATCGTTTTCAGACGATTCGATGGATGCTAGCAATTTTACGGCAGAAGATTTTGCTAGATGGCTACGTTCCGGACGTGCTGAAGTCCTGGAAAATCACGGTCAGTAATTAAACAAATTATATATTATTGAAAAATCTCTGAGATTCCTAAAGGACGAGCAACTCGCTCCTAACATTTTCTAAAAATTCCATATTTTAATTTTCTACAGAACCTAAAGAATTGGATGGTTGTGTTACGGTAAGAGACGCCACAAAGTGACTTAACTCTCCTTCAATAAAACCTTAGACCTGACCATTGTGACCTTTATAAAGTTTTCGTAATTCCTACACAAGCCGGAAAACCGGATGAGTCTTGGGTCGAGTAATCTAGGGTTATTACTAATAACAGCTCTCTACCCACCCCTCTCGTCCCCTTCCCTACACCACGAACCGGGCTCTGGGATTCGTAGGGAATCGAATGTTAGGCAAAAAATGTTAGTTCCTGATTCATCGCAAAGAAAAGGCGGTCAAATCACTCCAGCAATCTAGGTTGGATGTATGGCGTATTCTACCCATTTATCTTGCCGGCGCTAAACATTCGTGGAGCCCAAGCACCTGGCCAAGCCTTTCGTTTGTCAGTAGATCGTGATAATTTAATGGGTCGCCCAGAACGAGTTCGGAAATGGGCTTGATTTTCCAAGAAAGAATCGCCCTAATTTGTAGAGTACTGTACTATACCGTAAAGAATGGGTAGTATCATATGAATAAAATTGATGACGTCGAAGTCGAATCAAGCTCATGACTCTTTTTCGATATTCTTAGTGCCAAAGGCAACTCTTTGAAACTTTCTAAGAAATCTACTTGAGAGAGAAGTACATTAAAGTATTTTCATTTAAAATGCATTGGGCCGTCAAAACTAATCCAACCACTGTCACTTTCGTATCACTCAAAAACTAAAGCCTGCCAGCCATTTGTCGCTTCAGCCGACAGCTAAACGTCACGGATCCAGTTCTAAATTTGTTGAAAGGTTGAGATGTCACCTAACCTAATTTCTAGGAATGGCAGAGAGAATAAGAGTACTTGGACTGGCACTTTACTTGTGGCAATTAAAGTTGTGATGCCGTCATCGAGTACTTTATGTTTTGCACCGTCTAGCTGGAAGGGTTTACAACCCACGCACAGTAGACGACTATTTTGAACCACGCTAATCCATTTGGATACGTGAGGACATAAAACGCGATGCTAAATAAAGCTGTTGGGATCGATAACTCTTTTTGGAATGAGCCACGCATTCGGCTCTCATGTGAATATTGTAGAAGCGTTTGAAGACCTTATGGGCTCATACATTAAGCAAAGGATGAGGAACGCTTACTATTGAGCGTGCGGAAGCCATACCAAGCTGGTACGACATCTAAAGTGTGTTGATTTGATGCGTATCAGAGGTCTCCTATAAATAAATCCTTATTATCTTTTGTCCTTTTGTTGTGTTGAACGTTTGAAAATTTCCTAGTAAATTGTCACTGACACTGAATCGCAAAGTATAGTTGCCCGCAGAAGAATTAATGGCTGAACTTCTTCGTCGAACTAATTTCCGGCAGGAAATCGAAAGGTCGTCTAAAATGGGATGGGTATCTAGTAGAAAAATTGCCCGATGTTGCGATGGAGTGCCCAAATACGGTCTGAAACAGCTGAAGTTATTTATCGTTCTACCGAGGGAGTACCCTTGGAAAGTAACTTCTGATGGATGCTACAGTTACTGGAGGACTTCGAGACTTGCTTTCGCATCTATCTTGACGAGAAGGAGGAAAGTATCAATGAGTGCCGAACGATCTTTCCAGGATTGACTATGACATTCAGAAGCGTAGTGGTCTGGATATTTCTCGGACATAAAGGATGAGAAAGGAGCCAATCACTTACATGATAGCCTCTAGTTTTTTTTTTTACAGTGGCAGGAGTTTCTGAGTTCTCTGACCCTACTTGACCTCGCAGACCTTTGGGTGTGAGTGATAAACCTGGTTTTGGGAATAATAAAGACAGGGAGACAGAACACCTTTAGGCGGCGCGCCATATGCTCAACTTACTTAGAGAAATGCCCATACATTTGATAGGATGGTAGTGCCACACCATAATTGGCAGGATCCCCCGCACTTCCCAAATCATTAGAATCTTTCATTATTCAGATGGAGCTTGATATTTAGTAGATTTCAATTTTCTCGCTTAACCAAACTTAGGTTCAGCTGATGAGCAAGTGGAAAGTGAGTGTGACTCTGAGATGCGCCACTCATCTGAATGTTTCCCAGAAATAGTGGGTATATTTGGATGGGTATCTAGGCTATGTATGCATCGATTGAAAAGGGTAGGCCGATGTGATATTCAGAGCTAGTAACCTTCCAAAAAGGTTAGCAACACTTATTTAACATTGGAGAGGTCTTAGGTATGGATAACCTAGGAAAGATTCGATTCACGTGTCATCTACCTTTTTATCACGATGCCAATAGAAACCTTTAATAAACAATTGAATGAACAGAAATAACAATGGAATAAATTAATAAAATTTTATTGGTTTAACTTGCTTGAATCATTTCGCTAGAAAAATAATAAAAGGTGTAAAATAAAAAGTTTTAAAAAGTAGAAGAATGCCAAGGAGCAAAAAGAAGTAAAAGAATGATGAAGTATGCGATTTTGGACTCAGTTACAGCATGGGATTGGGAAGCGACGGCACGTGGTTTCGGAATTTCCTACGTAACATTAGGAACTCTGGCAATCGTGCTGAATTCGATTTTTCTCTATTCACTTTTGGCAAGACGACGAAAAGCCTTTTCACATGCGTTCTACATAATGATACTCGATTTCACCATTATCGATACTATCAAAGGTAATCAATAAATTCTATTGATTTCTATGACATTGGAATTCCTTTTTTTAAATGGTACTATCTAGGTGTTTCGTCGATTCTGTATGCTATTAAACTATTGAAAACCGATCTGAACTCGGATCAATCATTATTATCGATTCGAGTCGATCAGTACAGTGGTGTGCTGTTACGGTATGTCTTCCACTCGTTATCATCTCTAGTCATTATTTCATCACGTTCTTTTTCAGTTTCGCAAATTTGGCTACAATATTAAATCTGTTGAGTATTACCTTGAATGAATACGTGTATATTTGTTATCCATTGCGTTATTCAACTTTAGTCACAAGGTAAGATTTTCGTTGATTGGATCGATTTATTGATTTCAATGATCCACTCGTAGTGGGTCTTCAAGAGGGGCTACAGAAGGACTTCCAACGGGCTTCAGCTGTTTTCGGCTTCCTTACTGGTTTCAAATATTCCATTTCGCTTCAACTACCTCCTAGCAAAGAAAAGTATTCCCTCTAGGAGTCTCAAGTTTCTAGAGGGTATTTGAGCCCTTAACATCTTGCAACTTGCCTAAAGTCTGGAATGCAACTTGATTAAGCAATTCCAAATGAAATTAGGCGGTTTGGTTGGCTTGGGTTGAACCGATCTTGCAAATCGTTAAGGCGCAACAAACCTTCCAACCACTGCTCTATGTTTTCTTTTTTCAGGAAACGGGTTGTCCTGGTTATTTTGTGTATCTGGATAGTATCTTCATCAATGACTTTTGCCAATATGGTTGCTGGTATTCAGAATCGTAGTTTATGGATTGACGATGAATGTACCCAGGATGGTGAGTTCTTCTTCCGAGCAGCCAACAACACCTCAAGCCACTTCCGCTTTCGCGTTGGAGCTTATTGGAATTCACTCACACTGTTTACGTGTTCCCAGGGATTCTATTCTAATGAATGTGTTCTAGAGCCCTGATATATATGTGTTCCTATTTTTGGAATTGAAAAAAGACGAACATATGAGATTTGATGAAAGCTATAACGTAGAACGAAAATACCCCCAGGGATGGATACCCACGGAAAATTCTTGAAAGGACAAACGGCCCACTTGTTTATTGTCCCTCATGCGTGATGAGATGCGTCACGCAATAAATTTTTACTTGAAGTGGAGTTTCATTTGAATGCCCATATGGTCAGCAGAAGAACACACGGGGTCTGCCAAAACAAAAATCATTTTTCTTTTGGAAAATTTGGTCGATATTGTCAGAATTCGGTCGTGGAGTTAATCCCTGGGTTATAAGTGCCCTATTAAGATCTTCTCTATGTCGACATGATTTCTATTCGATCTCAACTACTGCACTTCCTCTGAAAGGGGCTTCAAAAGGATCGGATTACAGCTTTGCCGTAAACTATACAGATTTCCAAAAACGACATAATTATTTCTAAGATCTAGTTAATCGTAGAAATGTCGCTGAAGCGATTTTGAAGGTATCCACTGTTTATCCATAAGGTATCCCCAGTAGTGTCAGACTGGTTCCTTCACTGATCTATGAGGCAATGCACCTTGGCCCATATGCATCAAAATGACACAAAAAATTGAACGGATGCCAAACCTAGAAACCTGTAGTGTGGGGAAGAATAATGTAATAGTTTGGTACGCAAGAAAACTCGTACTGCGCTAGAATCGAGATGTGCAGATGCCCCACGGCGCCTCCTCCCCCTACACTACTCAATCCCAGTGCATCGTGCACATAAAATCTATTACAAACCTATGCATTTAAGCAAATTCGACTGCATCGTGTGTACATCGCCTGCAATCGTCAAGCTCAGCACATTTCGTCTATCACTTGGGTCTGGTCGTTTTCTGTGTTCTTTGTCTGGCCGTTACCGCCTATTCCTACAGTATCCTTCTGAGGTACGTCTTGTGCCACTGAATTTTCGCAGCTTTTTCAGCTACACGCACGCTACCTTGAAATCTTTTTAGAGTTGTATCAGGAGTTGTGAAAGCTGAAATGAAACAGACGGCTGAATTGGAGACTCTCAAAGAGCGAATCGACGACGGTAACTATTTCCAGAGTTTTCGAAAAAAAAATGCAAATACGACTTCATGCATACTTCAGTGTGATGAAGTACATTTGAGGGACATCACTGAGCTAATTTCTTCCTATCCAGCCCATAAAAGACTCCATATGAGTTTGTATTAAATCTATCGTGAACTTAATGAGGGCATTTCGAGCAGTGAAGCGCCGCGTATAGGAAGGGGTGGAAGAGAAAGGGATACGGTCAGTAAATGTTCATGGAACGGATGCTGCGGCTTTGGGAATTAATGTAACTCACCTTGAAAGAGATCTCCTTGACAGTTCGGAACCATAAGGGAAGTCAAAAAACCAAATATTCGGGAGCAAACATCCAAACTTTCTTTATAACAGGTAAATAAGTGCCATTTCCGGTAGCACATTTTCCTACCGTCGTTTCGGATAAGCTGATTCAGGGCTTGTCAGGGTTGCACGAGCATGTTTTGAAATTGATCCGTGTAGATTAAATAAGCCCAGCAAAGTAATCGGGTCTTACAGCACCAGGGGCCAAACATGGCCATGTAGGTAAAATGTGACGCAGGCAACAAAATATCGAAGGGTAAACAACAATAAGTCATGATCCGAATGATCTGGTGTTTAGGTGAACGACGTCTAGATGATAAACATGTGATGAGGCGACATAAATACGTAGTTGTCATCGGTACTGTTATCGGCGTCTATTCGGCTTATCTGACAGCTTACGCCACTATACAAGTATTACAGCTTGTCAATATCAGCGAGTAGGTTTCGGTTATTTTTTTGGTTGCAATTATGAGTAAGGGAAAGATTGGGAATCAGGAATTTCTTGGATAAGCCCTCCTTCAAATTGGGTCGATTGACTTTCTGATTCAAATTTCTAGGCTGCATAATCCATTTATTCATTGAAAATTCTAGATCTCGACAGTGATTTCCACGAAGAAATGGCAATTGTAATGTACGAAAAAAGCTCTTACTTAACCGAATGGTCCATTTAGTAGTGGACTTTGGGAAATGGGACTATCTGAGTTGACACATAAAGTCTAGAGCAAAGGGGCGAGCCTAATAGTAATAATCCACCATACTGTACAACATGAGCCTTTGTTTATTTACTTATCGTTTACTTGTTTGTGCAGCTATGTGCTCGAGCAGTGAATAGCAATGAATTAATATATGTCTTCAAGGTATAATAAATAATTAAGTGAAGATCGCCCTACCTACACATACGTAGTAATATCCCTGTAATATGGATATTTAATCTATAAGTCGATAGTAAACAAGTAAATAAATTCCTCGGTGTCTTAATGATATTTATACCGATATTTGCTCGGTTTGGTGCTTGAGAATCGTTGAATGGTCTATTGCCAAAGACAACAAGTACGGATTAAACAATTACGTGTATCAGCTCCTCGTAAAAGACAACTAACTACTTAAATTTTTGCTCACGGTAGTGATCTACGATTTAAACCTTGACGATTTTCAGAAATTCAAGCCGATTCCGTCGACGAGAAACTGTCTACTTGAAATACATATGTTATTTGTGCATTTCACTTCATTCTCTTCTTCAGCCCCTCTGTTATCTTCGTATGAGGGAATTTAGACAATTATTAAGAAGGTTCGCTCGTTTTTTCAAACTATTTATTTACAGTTATTAAGATAAATATAGCGCAAACAATGCACAACATTTTGAGCTTCAAGAGAGAGAGAGAGAGCTTTGGATTTCAATGATTACTCGGATACTGTAGCTATTACAGTATAATTACTGCTTTTAAGGGCGTTATGTGGTCGAACAAATCAGGAACAACACACAAATGATCACTACTACACGACGAATACCACAAAAGATATGCTCGTTGGAAAGCAATTCGTTTGATTCTCAAGCAAAATCGGACAGGAAGTTGATGAAGAAATCGATATCTATTGATTGCACAATAAAAATCAGGACTATTGAGCATTGTTTCACTTGTACTGATCGATTTATCGATTGATTATTACTGTAGTAGCAGTTTCATATTAGATCTTTTGTCCCATACGTTCCCATGGATCGAAATCAGCACCCTTTCGTATGTCGTCACCTCCAGTCACTGTGTATGCCTTCTTCTTCTTCAGACCAATTAGCCTTCCTTTGGTGGGCTTCGTACGAACTGTCTCACCTGAAAAACTAAGATTTGAAGGGTGTTCTATGGCAGGTGAGCTTACAGTCACTCCTTCCTCCTCTTGCCAGTTAGTTTAACGGTAGCTTTTTCGGTAAATTACGGTACATAATTACGGTAGTAAAAAGGTTCGTTGCGTTCAAAGTTCATTAATAAGAACAGTACTAAAGGGAGGGTATTTGGAGTGTGTCATGGCGTACTTGAGCCCATCGGAGCAGTTTTTCAAAAGCTTCTGAAACCACGACAACGATGAGTACTATCGGATGGGGAAAGCGGCGCGATACGGCAGTATAGCATCGCTGGCGGCTATAAATGGAGCTTAGATTTCGGAGGATCACTATTCCAGGAACGGTTGTTTTCAAGTAGTCTTCCCAAAGACTGCTTGGGACTAGTGGAATATTTTGTTTTTGTAGCACTATAGGCGTGGAGCAGTGGCAGGTAGGGCTGCTACAAAACCAGTATTTCACCAAGTCGCTAAGGCCATAAGGATTTTCCTTTCTCAAAAGGCTGCTTGTTAGGGTTAGGCTTGCTAGGAGGATAAAAACTAGATTCGAACTTTTAAGTAAGTTTATATAATAAGTAAGTTTATACAAATTACTGATTGCATCGAATGCAACTTCAAACGGCTCAACGTTACTGAGTTGAGATGGGATGCATGGCGCCTACTACAAAGGAAACAGACTGGGTCAAGTCCTTCTAGTTTTCTAAGCAACACTCGCTTTATGAATATCAACTGTAAAGAAATACTCTAGCCTGAAAGAAAGTCAAGCTGACTTCTCTAGTCCATTGAATTATAATACCAGTTATTCCATGATCTCCTCGCTTTTTTCAATATGGGTCTAATTTTATGTCATAATACTTCTTCATTCCTTTACCTACTCTCCTAGGCGAAGATCGATGATACGTCCTTTCTGAGCCATCGAATGATCGGCTGTGCGATCACTCCAGTCAGTGATCTCCACGACAGTTCTTGAAGCTTCATTCAGGAAAAAAAGACAGTGAATCTGAGCCCAGGATTTCAAGACGGACACAATTGGTTCCCATTGTGTGAGAGACCGCAGTTCTATCAAAACTAGCACGTTTTTGAGTGGTTTGATAGATTTCCAGTTAAACGGACATCGATTGATGGGGTAGGAGTAAGGACTGCCGAGCACTTGCCCTGTCCTGTGAGCCTCTTGGATCGATTCAGTTCCTTTCCATTTGAATTTTTTAAAACCCCTTAGAGTCTTCCTTCTTCAGAATTGGGGCCTCCACCCTCTGAAAGCTGTTGGACTGACCAGTACCTTTAAATGAGCCTCTTTTCCAGCACCAATCGACAATTTTACTTCTTTAGCTCCTTAGTGGTGTGGTACATTATTTGTCTTAATGTTTTTCAGAATTTTAAATTATTATTACAATTTTTCTCAGCCGACCCTCTCAATCAACTTCATCACTCCGTTACGAGCCTGAACTTCTACGTAATTAATTTTTTCCCGGAACATCTTTTATGTGAGAATTTATTAGCGCTAAAAGCACCGCTAGTCGTGTGGGCGAGTTCCCTGTCATCATTGTGCTTTTGGCTCATTGCCTAGTCAATAGGAGGGATCATCCAATAGGAAGTTTGCAATGTTTTCAGGGGTCCCGCCCAAATTCATGTTGCTATTTTACCGTAAACAATAGAAATGCAGTGAAAGCGACTGACCTACATGTACATGAGCGGTACGGCTCAATGGTACCAATCTGGGTGTAGCTTTGGGGAAGTACTGATTCGTTTTCCCGGAATGATGCTGTTTCTGAAAAATCCATTGTGAAAGTCTTAATTAAATTCGTTATTTTTCGGATCTTCTAGAAAAATCACCTGCGGAATATCGATTGTAGAAACTTTTGGATCCTTCTCGATCATTTCCGTCGGTAGAGTTATCGTTTCCACTTTGGGATGCATTGGAATATTTTCCATCTAAAAATCATTCAACTCCTCTTTCTTTCTTCATTTCAACTGTCATGATCTTAAATCTTTCCATACAATTTTCTATAGTAAAAGGTACTTTGTAAGCCCTGACAAATCATTTTTTTCGGTCACTTTTTCTTCAATTTCGTCCCGAGCTCTAATTTTTGCTTGTTGGAATAAACAAACAAATAAGTAAATAATCAGAAAATTCTGTGCGGTCCCAAGGGAAGTACTGCTTCCTGACTATGTCACATATCAGTCCGATTTGGCACAACTCCGAAAGACTTACCTCTCGCCTGAGCTTATCCTCAGCTTTCAGTCTAGCGATCACTTGCTCAACAGTCAGCTGCGAGTCGTCGACAGGTTCGAGCTCTTTTGGCTTCAACTTCGATTTGGAAACGGCAATCTTCTAAACGAGGTAATCCTTTCCACAAAATAATTCAATTATCTGAAACAATTCCGTGGCTATATCTGCGTACCAATCCACTTTTCTTTGGTGTAGCCGCGCCCATGTGTCGGTACTTGAATAGGTCCTTCGACGCTGTACTAGTAGTTGTAGCAGTAGTAACGGGTACTGTAGCTTTTGTGGTGGTGGTGGTGGTTGTGGTAGTGGTGGTGGAGGTAGTGGTTGTAGTTTTGGGAGCTGTTATCACATCAGCATCGGAGTCCACCGCAGGCATGGGTGTCTTGTAGAATTTGCTATTGAATGAGAGATCTGTGTCTTGGCTCTGAAAATTCCGAGGCCTCATCACAATGGTAAATGAGTATGAGACCAAATTTTGTTAACAATTTTATAGAAACAAATTTCTAAATATCGGGGTGGAGTCGGGTCGGTATTGACCGTTCACCATAATGAGCTGATGCTCTTAACCGACCATTACCTATTATCAATACTCTGTTCTCTGCCATACTCATTTTTCAACTAGTTAACAGCCACCTAACAGACACCATTCTCCTTTATCCCCGTAGCTTACCTGTTCCGGCTCGGCCTGTATGCTATGGCTAGAAATCAAGATCTGCTCCAAACTGCTCCTAACCCCACTAAACGAGGTAATCCTGATCCATCCCAGGTCCAGAATTACTTCGCGCTAGCATGCCAACGGGACTTCAGAATGGGCAAATACGAACACTGAATGCTGGAAGTTCTAATTGTAAGAGGAAGGAGAAAGGGTGAGCTTTCGAAGGCGGAAGGAAGAACACGGAGATCATCAGTCGCCGTCAGTTTTGCGCATCTGTGTAGCGCTCGCTCTAAGTTTGGACCCATTACTCATCTGCTTGGACCAACAACTATCCACATGTAGGTTTCCGATTCATGCCTTCAAAGAAATAGGAGTTGGTGAAAACCCAGTCAGCGCGTTCCATCACCTTCTTGCGGACAAATCGACGTGACAATCCAGTGGATAGCGAAACCATGGAGAGAAGAACGACTTTCTCAGAAAGTTCAACATCAGCGAAAATCATGAAAGAGGAATTTACGATTGGATAAGCTTCTTTTAGTTGGAACGCATGAATCCCCTCCGAAATAAGATTTTCTGCTGCTGCGACCAAGACTAAGCATGGCTGCGCAGAAAATGGTGCAGGGCTCTGTTGATCTGATGGAAGGGTGTACTTCCCCCCGTCCGCGTCACGCTCTATTAGGGGAAGGTTTAAATTTGGAAGGATGTGGTAATCACCGCAAAATCACTGCCGCATGTTGTTGGAATTCCGGAAGAAGCACCGCCACCTGATCTGACTCTACTAAACCTCGTCTTTCCCACCTCCATACATGTTTAGCTTCCCAAAAGCAACGCTGGGACAGAGGTGAAGAATAAAGATGTGTATGTAAACAAACAAAAACAAAACGTCGGGAATTCCATGCCGTCGACCCTTTGTGAAATGCAACCCCGCTCTCCCAGATATACGAAAAGTGCTCCTTTATCGTGGTGAATTCTATCGCCGAGTATAACTCTGGTAGAGGCTAACGCTGGTAAGCAGATAACTTGAACATGAAATCGCCCCTACGTTCATAAAGCAAAGATGAATACATGGCTTATCAAAAAGGAATTACTTACCGTCTGTTTTTGGGTGCTAGTTTCGCGATGAGCTTGTACGGCCTGTGTTGAAGTAGATGTGATCTCAGTGAGAGGTACTGCTGATTCGTCAATTACAAATGTGTTGTTTGCTCGAGCCAAAGCCGGAGCTAAATCATTTGCATTGGATACTGTAATTCAAAATATGAAATATTTGTAAAATTCTTTAAAGTTTTTCCGAAACTACGAATGATGGCTCTTGATCGTGCTCCACTCACCGTCTATCTTGGCAGAGCCGATTCCGATAGGTTAGATAGACGCTCATACTTTCAATGATGTCGATAAAACCTTTACAACTCATTTATAGAAAAAAATCTCTTATTTTTCAGTTAAATCTCGTAAACGGTTATCGGAATTTGCTGAAAAACAGATGAGACCTCCTCTGTTCCAATTATTTCATCAGTTTCGAAAATGTTATCTCCTTTTAAACGTTTTAATCTTTACGGAACAATTGAAATCGGCTGGATCCACAGGGGAGGAATAGCAAAGAGCACTGCACACCTGCAGACCCTCTTTAGAAGTCCCACCCACAGCGAATCATCCGCTTTAAAAACCTTGGTGTAATTCTTACCTTTCATCTCTTCTGATATCGGTTTGATACGGTTCAAATAAACTATTCCAGATGATGGTAGATCTCGAACCTTCTGATAGCCTCTGCAATATTACATGGAATAATTGTATAGAATTACAATCCGGTCCAAATATCAGAGCTGTTTCCAAACTTCATTTTGTGACAGTTGCAGGAGACGGTATTGATTTTACGCGCGTAACTCGCGAGCCAATTTTGTTACGGCAGATTGGAGTTTGAAAACGAGACTCAGGTTGCTTACCTTATTGATCTCTGAATCGGGTACATATCTTTTGGATAAAGATGCGGATTCACTGGATGAATATAGACAAAGGGCTCGGCGAAAATTAGAGGAATAAATACCAGTGGGAGAACTATGATCATTGTGGTCGCCTAGAAAAATCAATTTAATGTTCAAACAATAATAATGTCAGCGTTACCGAAACTTGTAAAACCGAAGCGTGCGGCATCTGGGGAATCAGTTTCTACTAGTAACAGTAATGGCTTTGTTAATAATTCAATGACTTCTCAAGATCAGATATCAGGTCAAACGTATCGTAATAATTATGATAATAAAAAATAAATAATAATAATAATGCAGTAACAACAATAATATTAAAAATACTATTCGCTGTACTAAGAATAAAAAATAATAGTAGTATCAAAAGCAATGAAAAAATGAAATTAAAATTTAAAAAATATTAATAATGGTGTGTGTAACGAAATGAAGACTGACTCACATATTATCACGCAATAATGATTATAATAACAATAATAAGAGTAAAAGTAGTAATAATAATAATGTTAATAGTAATAATAATTGTAATAATAATTCTAATAATAATAATAGTAATAATAACAATAATAATAATAATAATAATAATAATAATGATAATAATAATAATAATAACAATAATAATAATAGTAATAGTAATAGTAATAATAATAGTAATAGTAATAATAATAATAATAATAATAATAATAATAATAATAATAATAATAATA